TCCCTGCCCCCTCCCACCCCAAACACCCCCCCCCCATCTAGCATGTAAACCCTATTGCTCAGATTCCCCACCTGGGACTGAACCCCCCCTCCCCCCCGCCCCGCAATCCTAGCGTTAAAAAATAATAATCCGATTGCCGTGAAACGCTGGACATCGGCAAGCATCTGCAGCCTTCGAGCGGGGGTGGGGGAGATGTAAAATTCCAGCCCTCTCCTCCCTTTTCCCTGTGTGCCCCCCCCCACGCCAAAAATAATCGCAACAGACATATCTGTAGCCAGCTGCAGTGTCAAAATGGAGGCGAGAATAACTGTCCATTTGATAGCGGCTTGGTGGGGGAAGACGGGAGGGGGGTGACACACGCACACACAAACACACACACAAACACACACACAGGATGGCAACGCTGTCAGCTCTTCCCAGCCTTTGCTGGAGGATGTGAAGGGGGCAGAGGGCAGGAAGGAAGCGGCGTGGATGCCGGCAGAGGGCGAGGGAGGGTGGCAGCTGGGGTATTTGAAAGACACTGCGTGCGTGGGGCGGGGGGGGGGGGAAAGGCTTGGCAAACAATACGTCTACATCGAGAACCTTGCAAAGGGCCAAGATGCCGGAGCTGTCTGTCTTCCCCCACCAGGGCCAGAACGCAAACAGTAAGCGGCCTGGCCGCTTTCGGCGTGCCACTAGCCCCGTGCGACCGGGCCCTTTCTCCAAAGCCGCCCGGATCCATGTTTTCCGAAGCGAAGGAGGAAACTGGCGGGGGTTGACATCCTCCGCACCAGGTGGAGGACGGCGCTGAAATTTCAGGCACTGGGTCGGAGCCGAGGGCCACCGCGCCGGGTCCCGGCCTTGGCGTGTCTTTGTTGCCCGGGATGGTGCAGGTGTGCGTGTGTGAACTGGCCCGCCACGCTCGCCCACCATCACCCTCATGATGTAATTAACATTTAGAGCTGTTTGCGTTTGGCCTTTTGGCGAGGAGCGATAAATAGTGCCGCTGAACGCAGATTCCTCCGGGGAATCGGCCTGGCGGATTATCATCGCTGTACTGATGGGGCTAATGTACCGGCAGGGAGGAGATTTCCAAAAGCAAGGCATAAATTAGAGCGATAAAAGACCAGACACTGGGATAAAAGAACTGGGGCATCTTAGCTCCGTGGGAAGGGCTGGAATGACTGGCCGTGGGGCTGAGGGAAATGACACTGAGGCAAGGATCTGGGCTGTTACCCGGATATTTGGTCGTTGGTTGTTCGGTCCCGGTTGCATTTTGTGGCGTCTCTGTTCTTTCACCGAGGATGGACGTGGGGCGGTCGGATTGATCACGACGGTGCTGAGGTGTGCGGGGGGGGGTGTCTCTGATGGGGGGCCGTGATGGAGAGACGGGTCGCGTTGTTGGAATCCGGCCTGCGTTGGCGAAAGGAGGCCGGTTGCCAGGGCAATGCACAAGAGCAGAGCAGGGGGAGGGATCCCGGTCAAAGCTCCAAGCCAGCTGGGGTGGGGGATGCAAGGGGCGCTGGGGAGTCCTAGGTCTGAGTGGGAAAAGATCGGGGGGAGGGGAGAGTGGAAATGGGGTGGGGTTTGGTGTTGTAGAGCCCCGGTCTGTTTGAGGAGAGGGGTCCCCTGCAAACCCAAGCTCCATCTTAGCTGAACCCCTCAAAGGTCCTGGGTGGCCCTTGGCCCCGGTCCAAGCAGTTGCCAAGGTATGGGGCAGCAGGATGCCCTCTGGCCCGAGGGTTCTTCCCCTCGGCAGGGAGGGCCGGTGTGGCTGTCTCTCGCTGGCAGCCCCGTTGCATGCTGGGGAAGGGATCTTGGCCTGGTTTGCAGTGAGGTGGTGGGGTCGGCTGGTGACCCTGGGCAAGGAGGATCAAAGCCAAGGGCTGGAAGGTGAGCGAGGCGGGCACGGGGCACTGGAGCAAGGATCCCCCAGCCCAGCTGGGATCAGCCAGAGCTCCCGGTTCCCATCCCCCGGGGCTGAGACCAGCTCGGCCCACAGAACTATCATCAAGGGCAGCCTTGAGCCTGGGTCCATCCAGACTGGCTGGGGGGTCCATGGGGCCCAGCTGGGCCATCCTCGCCAACGATGCACTGGGGGAATTTCCCAAAAGTCTTTGCTCCGGGGCCCTGCCCAGTAGCGGGGCTGGTCCGACTACTCCCCCCAGGATGGGCTGGGCCATTTCCCTCATCCCATGCAGTGCGGGCAGTGGTGCTGGGCACTGGAGGGGTGGCAGGATTCCCGGTGCGCACTGGCTCAGCCGTGGTGGCACAGGCCCTTCAGAAGGGGGTTGACGTGTAGCATGGACAGAGCCCAGGTCTGGGTCTGCCTGTCTGTCCCAGCAGGTAGCAGTGAGTCAGGGGGACCCTCTGGTCGGGATTTGTGGGGCTCTGATCTCAGTCACTGTGTGTCTGGGCAGCGCCCGGTGCGACGGGGCCCCGATCTCAGTCATTGTGTGTCTGGGCAGCGCCCGGCGCGATGGGGCCCTGATCTTGGTTGCTGTGTGTCTGGGCAGCGCCTGGCGCGATGGGGCCCTGATCTCGGTCACTGTGTGTCTGGGCAGCGCCCGGCCTGACGGGGCCCTGATCTCGGTCACTGTGTGTCTGGACAGCGCCTGGTGCGACAGGTCCCTGATCTCGGTCACTGTGTGTCTGGGCAGCACCTGGCACAATGGGGCCCTGATCTCGGTCACTGTGTGTCTGGGCAGCGCCTGGCGCGACGGGACTCCAATCTCGGTCACTGTGTGTCTGGGCAGCGCCTGGCGCGACGGGGCCCTGATCTCGGTCACTGTGTGTCTGGACAGCACCTGGCGTGATGGGGCCCTGATCTCGGTCACTGTGTGTCTGGGCAGCGCCTGGCGCGACGAGACCCCGATCTCGGTCGCTGTGTGTCTGGGCAGCGCCTGGCGCGACGAGACCCCGATCTCGGTCGCTGTGTGTCTGGGCAGCGCCTGGCGCGACGAGACCCCGATCTCGGTCGCTGTGTGTCTGGGCAGCGCCTGGCGCAACGGGATCCCGATCTCGGTTGCTGTGTGTCTGGGCAGCACCTGGCCCAACGGGGCCCTGATCTCGGTTCCTGCAGGGACGCTGGAACAATTTGTATAGTAGGGATGCTGAGAGCCATTGAACCAAACTGTAAACCCTGTATATAATGGAAAGCACTTCAAGCCTCGGCACCCCCAGCACCCCAGTTCCAGCTCCTGTGGGTTACTGTGTGTCTGGGCAGTGCCTGACACTAGGGGGCCTTGAACTCTAGGAGCTCCCGTAATAGCCCTATTAATAATGAGCAGAAACCCCAACCCGCCTCCCCAGACACGCCTGCACTTCCCCCCGTGTAATCGGAATATGGTGCCTTTGCTTAAACCAAATTGAGGGGGGCTGAAAAATATCAGGGGTGCCTGACCACCTGCACAGTGGCAGGGACTAGGACCCAGGAGTCCTCACTCCCAGGCCCCCTGGCTCTAACCACTGGCCCCGACTCCCCTCTCAGAGCTGGGAGTAGGGCCCAGGAATCCTGACCTGAAAGTTCCTTCTTGGGATGTACCTTGCACACCCAGAGGGGTGCGGGCCCAGGCCTTAAAGGGACAGTGGCCCTCATCTGTCTCCCCTGCCTCCATCCTGCCTCTGGGGCTAAGCGTTGGGTTTCTTAAAGCTTCTGTGCTGAGTGGTGGTTCTGAGGCCCGCTCCCTCCAACTGGGGCTGGTGTCAGTGCTCTCCACAGGCCAGGGCTGGCGCCCAACGATATTGACCTAGGATCCTTGACCTGACATGGCAGAACCCCAATCAGGAGGCCCCTAAATCCTGGGGGAGGGGCGGATTCAGGTTCAAATCTCCCAAGGATCAGGGTTCCCCTTGACGCAGAGCGGGGGGTCCCGGTCCGTGGCCAGGGCTCTGGTGGAGGCAGATGCTCTGTGAGGATCGGCTTGGAATCCA